TGGGGGTGTGCAGGAAGCAGCTGATTGATGATTCTTGCTCATCACTGATGCTTCAATTTCTCTCTCTCTCCCTTCCTCTTTCTGAAATCTATAAAAATATATTTTAAAAAATATGTGAACAACAAAATGGCAACAATTACATACCTATCAACAACTGAATCTAAAAATCAAAATAAAAGAATAAGAAATCTAATGAACAGAATAAACTGGTGAATAACATAGAATCAGAGGCATGGAAATGGAACAGACTGTTGATTCTCAGCTGGAAGGGGGTGGGGAGAGGCGGGAAGAGATTAAACAAAGATTTTATATGCACACAGACAATAGGGAGGCAAAGGCTTGGGGCAGGGCGGAAACTGGGTGGAGGGGGGATTGGGGGTAAAAAAGAGGGACATCTGTAATAATCTCAACAATAAAGATTTTAAAAAAAGAATTTGGAGGGACAGTGTTCAAAGGACAGTGCGATATAAATTCAGTATCTGGCATCATTGGTTTTTGTAGTTTCGTGCATGTTAAACCTGGTGTGTGTTTTTTAACTGATTTTGAGTAGAGGGACACATCGATTTGTTGTTCCACTTATTTATGCATTTATTGTTCATTCTTTTTTTTTTATATCCTATTAAGAGTTTATTAAGAAATTTTGTTTCACAGGCCATACAGAAATAAAAGGACTATGGACAGGCTTTCAGGAAACAGGCATGGAGCTGAGGAGGGTCAAAATGAGTCTAGGGCCTTGGTGGGTGCATTCCTGGGGGATGGGGCCCTCGCATTCCTGGTGGAGGGGGGCGCATTCCTGGAAGGGACATGCCCACTGGAGTTCCTCATCCAGGGGGGATCCCTATTGGCGGACCCATGGGAGGCCTCATACCAGGAGGTGGGCCCATCATGCCTGGAGGGGGTGCCCCTCGGCCCATAGGTGGGTACTGGATTGGGGCCCCTGCAATACTAGCTATGGCAGCAGCTGCAGCAGCTGCAACAGTGCCTCTTGCTTGTGGGGTCATCACCTGCTGAGATGGTCCACCAACCCCATGAACTGGCCCAGCAAGTCCTGCAGGGGCCTGGGGCATGGAAACACCAGCTGGGATTCCTCTGCCAGCAGCCCTGCTGATCCCGGGCCTCCAGCAGCTCCAGCAAGTGGCACTCAGGGCAATGCCAATATCTTTGGGAGGAGGTCCCTCTACTGTCATTGAGACCAGGTTCTCCCCTTGAAGTAGCACCAGCCTGAGGACTCACTTCTCTTCTCTTTCAGCTTGTTTTGAGTTTTTTGGCTTGATCTTCCTGAATTCATCACAATCACATAGGATCAAATTCATATGCTTGTCGAAAGCCTTGAAGGTGCCAATGAAGATACGACCATCTTGCAGGAGCACCTCATCCCTGTAGTCGATGTGCCGCAGCAACTTGCTGCTCTTGCCCACAGTCATGGTGGTGGTTCTGATGGCTCCGATTCCCGCTGGATTCACCTGTGCGGAGGTCTGGCCCTCCTGTAGCCTGCTTCCCGTCACTACTACCGGCATTGGTTGATTCTTGTATGTGCCCTGACTAGGGATGGGATCGAATCCACAACCTTGGTACATCAGGATGCTGCTCCAACCAACTGACCTACCTGGCCAGGGCCTAAACCTGGTATTTTTATTGATATAGTTGGTTTTTTCTTAAAGAGCCTAGCCGGTGTGGCTCAGTGGTTGAGCATCGACCCATGAACCAAAATGTCACCGGTGTGATTCCTGGCTGGGGCACATGCCTGGGGTTTCAAGCTCAATCCCCAGTAAGGGGCGTGCAGGAGGCAGTTGATGGATGTTTCTATTTCACTATCCCTCTCCCTTCCTCTTCTCTAAAAGAATCAATAAAACATATTTTTTAAAGTAATTTGGGGAGACACAAATATTCAGACCATAGAACCTTGGCTCCTGCACTAACTATGATAGTGTTACATGCAATAAACACCAATTATTCAAGAAAAATGATCTTACATATAATAATATTACATGCAATAAACATTAATATTTCAAGAATAAAAAGATTTTAAGTATAATAATA